CTCATGGAAAGGCATATCCTCCCACATCGTTCTCCGTGGAGCACAGCTGTCTCATCATCTTTCAAAGCCACAGTCAAATCTCAAGGCAGTAACAGGAATACTTCCTTTTCAAGCAAGCCTGTATCCTGTCAGAATGTACAAGTTCACAGAATTACAGTGTATAGAAGTAGAAGCAGCTGGGAGCTGGCAGCTCACGCTTGTAATCCTAGCCACTCTGGAGTCCGAGATCTGAGGATCATAGTTTTGAGGCCAGCCTGGGCAAGACAAATTTGTGAGACTCTTCTCTCCAATTAGCCAGCAAAAAGCCAGAAGTGGAGGTACAGCTCACATGGTACAGTGTCAGCCATGAGTGGAAAAGCTAAGGGTGGGTGCAAGGTCCTGGGTTCAAACTCCAGTACCAGTGTACACACACACACACACACACACACACACACGTAGTTGTGCCTCACCAGGCACTCCCAAGACCTATTGCTTTTGGAACAGGTGTATCTGGTCTTAGATGCTAGTTGTTTGTATGTCTCACATCGAACTGTGAGCTTGCTAAGGGCTAAGACTATGTTATTATCTTTCTCTTCTATACACAGGAGTTCTCAATAAATATTTGTTATCCTGATTATTACCAAATTTCATTAATAACACATATATTATTACCCCGTGTTTGCTTGATGATGCTCATATTATCATAATAGCCTCTTTAGTGAAAAGAATAAATACTTTCTCCAGGAATTCCACCTCAACATTTACAACTGCCCCTGAGCAGTTTGCTTAGATCTCTTGCAGTTTACTTATTCACTCATCTTTTTTTTTTTTTTTTTTTGGTGCCAGTATTGGAGGTGCTTGAACTCAAGGTCTTGCAAGCTATTGCCTGGCTTTTTCACTCAAGGCTGACATTTGACCACTTGAGCCATGGCTCCACTTCCAGGTTTTTGCTGGTTAATTAAGAGATAAGAGCCTTAAATCTGGCTTGAAATCTTGACCCTCATATCTCAGCCTCCTGAATAGCTAGGAGGAGAGGCTCACCCAACATTTTTGAGAAACGTATTTTAAACTTGACAGTGTCATAGGTATTAGAATGTGAGGGCTGGGAAGGTGGCTCAGTGGTAGAGTGCTTGCCTTGCATGCATGAGGCCCTGGGTTCGGTTCCTCAGCACCACATAAGCAGAAAAAGCTGGAGGTGGCACTGTGGCTCAAGTGGTAGAGTGCCAGCCTTGAGCTGAAGAGCTGAGGGACAGCACCCAGGCCCAGAGTACAGCCTCCACAATCGACAAAAAAAAAAAAAAAAAAAAATACAATATGATTCCCCTCCCCACTTTTTTCTTTCTTTCTTTCTTTCTTTTTTTTGGGTCTGGTAGTGGGGCCTGAACTTCCGGCTTTTTTCTTTTTGCTTATGTGGTGCTGAGGAATCGAACCCAGGGCCTCGAGCATGCAAAGCAAGCACTCTACCACTGAGCCACCTTCCCAGCCCGCCCCCCCCCCCCCACTTTTTTCTTGCAATGCCAGGAATTGAACCAGGCTCTTTTGCACATGAGGTATGTACCCTACACTGAATTACATTTCCAGCCCTAAGAGCTTGAAGTTTGATGTGGGAACCCAAATCAGTTACAGTGTATCAAAACCACTGTTGTTAAGAGGGGTGAGAGAAGATGTTATAGGGGAGTGGAAGAGGGATACTCAGGATAAACTATTCTCCTGCAAGACAACAGCACCGTAGAAAGAACAAGGAGTGAGCAGGTTCTCAGCTCACTAGCCTGTTCCCTGATATGTATACTAACTGTATACATATGTATGTAGCAGGGATTGCTGTAAAGAGCAAAATAATACACACAGAATACATAAAAGAAACTTTGCATATGCTTGGAATAAACCAGTAAAGCAGTACTATTAAATTATGCTCACCTGCGGACTTTTCCATTCGCCATCTGCCATTTCCCTCCACTTACACTCTCCCAGGAAGTCTTCCTCAGCCTTCAAACAACTATCGCAGGTCCTACCTTGGAACCCTGCTCACATCCTCCTCTGCCCTTCACTCTGTTTATCGCAGCCTCACACCTGGATTGTCCCAACAGAGCCTTCAGCTGTCCAAATCTCTATTCCATTCTTCCTATTATTCAGACATCTATTCCTAAGAGATGGTTTTCTTTCATTTCCTTCCCCTGTACAAATGAATTCATGTTTGCCTCATTAACCAAAGAAGACCCAAGACCAAACCTTATAGGTTGACATTTAAGGCTTTGGGCAATTTAGCTCTATTTTATTTACCCAAATATATCTGTTCTCAGCATAAAGCTGTAATATTAACTGGTGTGGCTTTCTCCTGTCTCCTGAACAAACATACAGGAGCCCAACCACACACAGCTTATTCTCTCATTCACGGTAGCCTCTCCTAGTCTGTGAAGGAAGAGTGGGAAGGCCAGAAGAGTGTAATTACAGTACACAGGAGTAGGAGCCCCTCATCTCCTAACCATCCTTCAGGGCACACCTCCTCTGTGAAGCCTTCCCAAATGAACTCATTGTCTCCAGAATTCTTAGAACACGTATTCCCCAGCCTCACCCCTTGCACTTCCACATCTCAGAGTTCCTGAAGCATGAGACAGAGTGGTCAGACCCCACTCCCAGAGACTCCAGGGGTCTATGTGGACCAGAGAACTTAATTACTTAGCAGGATCTGATGATAAGGACCTACAGATGATCCCTTTATTTATAATTTCTCTTTGTGGGGCACCATTGGTACACACTTGTAATCCTAGCTACTTTGGAGGCTGAGATCTGAGGATCAAGGTTCAAAGCCAGCCCAGACAGGAAAGTCTGTGAGATTCTTCTTTTTTGTTGTTGTTGGTTGTGGGGCTTGAACTCTGGGCCTGGGCGCTGTCCCTCAGCTCTTCAGCTCAAGGCTAGCGCTCTACCACTTGAACCACAGTGCCATTTCCAATTTTCTATGTGGTTTATTGGAGATAAGAGTCTCACAGTCTTTCCTGCCTGGGCTGGCTTTGAACTGTGATCCTCAGATCTTAGCCACCAGTGCCCGGCTTGTGAGACTCTTCTTACCTCCAATTAAGCACTAAAAAGTTCAATGTGGAGCTGTGACTCGAGTGGTAGTGCACCAGCCTTGAGTGGAAAAGCTAAGGGCCAACACCCAGGCCCTGAATTCAAGCCCATGTACTGTTCTGGATGACCTTGGCCCTTACTTTCATTGCCATTCTATCTAAGGTCTTTAGGTTTGATCTTTGTGGATCAGTCTCCAAACATAAACTTGCTGCCTACATTTTCTTTGTTTCTCATTTGATGCCTTCAACCACGTAGGGAGAAAGAGCGCCCTTCTTACACATTGCTGGGGACTGGATCAAAGGCAGCCAGACGGCCCACAGAGCAGAGGCTGGTTGGCGTAGGTCCCCAAGGGGAGCCACGTGCAGTCCACAGAATTGCTGTACTGAGGGCTAGCAAGCACTGGCTCTTAGGGCGACATGTAAGTTTCAGCCCGCTTCTCTAACTTCTAGAGAACTCAAAGGAATGGATGAGCACAGGGTACTCTTCCAGGTGCTGAGCTGAGAATCAGGAAGTACAGTAGCGGGTCTCCAGTTCCTAAGTGTACAATGTGGAGGTTCAGCCATCCAGGTGTTTACACGTCATTGTAGAGCACAGAAGAGGCAGAAGCTGCCAGAACAGTCAAGGAGAAAGTGAGGTAATACTTCTTTGAAGGTCACTTATGTTCAAGGTGCTTGCACCTACAAGATTTCATGAAATCTTCACAAGGGAGATAGCATCTCATTCATTTTAAAGTGAAAGCCACAGCCTCAGGGCAGTTATATAAGTTGTCTAAGGGCCACACAACTGGGAAAAGGGAAAGCTATTAGGGGTACAGGACAAGCTGGACATTCTTGGTCTGTTTGACCCCTTGGTTTTTTTGGTTCAGCAGCAGGGCCAGAGCAGCATGGTCCTGAGATGTGTCATATGGTCTGGGCAGTTGCTCAATGTGACTAACAGTAAAGAGAGTAAACCTCAGTCTCCACGCGGCTCCTGCTCCCAGACAATCCTTAGCATTGTGTTAGCCTGGGCCTGCACAGGATGCATGCATGCTACTTCTGGAAAGTTAGTAGGGAAGGGGGTGGGGGGGAAGGAATGGGGTGCTCAATGTAAATGCTCCTGGATGCAGGACTCAGGTGCTCCTCCTACATCCAACACACTCTGACTTTCCACACCCTCTATGGACAAGCTTTCTGGACAGACATGACACAGATCTGGGGGTGGCTCACACACAGAGAGAGAGAAGTGCAGGATCAGATTCAAGGTGACACGTACCAGCCTACACAGACCCACGCCGCCTGCTGCCCAGACTCACCCACAGAGGAGGCAGATGCTCACAGAGGCCAGCCAGGCACCCCACATGGAGGGCCACTCTGGCCCACATTCCCATAGCCAGGTGGGCAGATGAGGGCACAACCTCTATCACCTCCACAGTGGTGGGGAGGGTTAGGGGGAGCGGAAAGTGTTTTCTCCATCACTTCCAGGCCCTTTGCCACCAGAGGGACCCCACTCTGGAAAGGAATGGGGTTCCTTTCCTACAGTTCTTTCTTTCCACAGGCTCAGTTCAGTTCCTTTCTGGCTGTGCATAGAGGCATGGGTGGGGGAGGGGACGGAGTGCAGAAAGCCTGGGGTGGGGGAGGGCCTGGGGACCCGGATGGGAGGGGGAGTTGGGTGACCAGAACCTAGAGGGGTGACAGATGGGAGTCAAGAGTTGGTCAGCACCAGAGGGGCTGACACCTGTTAGAGCTCCCCCTGAGACCCCTCTCTCTAACTCAGGAGACCCCTAAACTGCTCTGTCCCCAAATCCACACTGTGCAGAGAGGCAGAGAAGTGAGGGCAGCTGGCCCAAGGGTCGGGGGAAACGAGATGGCCAGGAGGAAAGGTTCTTTTGGGGGGAACCCCCCCCCTTAGCTGCTGCACTCCAGTCCTGTCCCCCTGTGCGCGCAGGAAGGAGGGCTTCGCGGGCCCCATCCCCTTACCGTCTGCGGGGGGCTGCCCACGGTCATCTCCACGTAGTAGCCTTGGCCAGACTTGCCCCTCAGGTTGTCCACCATCTCCACAAAGCTGCCCCTCGGCCCGGGCTCCTCGGGCTCCTCGTCGGTGTCCCGGGGCAGCCGCAGCCCGAGCGGAGCCCCGGCCAGGCCGCTGCGCAGGGGCAGCCGGATGCCCCGCTGGGTGCCGTGCGCAGGCAGCACGCCCCAGCCCACCCACAGCAGGAGCCAGGGCAGGGCCGGGGCCATGGTGGGCCCGGGCCTTCTGGGCGCTCTCCGGCCCACGATCGTCCCTGTCGCCTGCCCCGAGTGCGGGCGCTGGTGGCTGGTCTCAGGAGAGGGGGCCCGGAGGCATCGGGACCCCCAGATCTCCCGGGCCCCTGCGCCAACCCGCTCGGGTCCGGGCCAGTGGAAGCGAAGCGGCGGGCCGGAGAAATCCGCAGCGCGGCGCGGGCGCGCGAGGAGGGAGCGGGCGGGCACCCGGGACCCCGCCGGGCTACAGCGGGGCCGGGGCGGCCGGCCGCGGCGGGGGGCGGCTGGGAGGGGCGGCCATGGCAGCGGGGCGCCCGGCGGCGTCCTCGGTCCTCCCCCGGCGCGGGGCCCACGGCTCGGAGAGGGGCCGGCCGCTCAGGACACCACCATCCCGCTCCGGCTCCCAGGCGGGCCGGGGAGGCGGAAAGACTTGTGGCGACGGCTGTCAAAGCCCGGGGTTCTCGCTTGTCCCTGGCGTCGCTGGGAAGTGTAGTCTTCCCGGGGCTTCCGGAGCTGCAGAGGGGTCTGGGATGCCCTCTGCCGAGCCGGAGTCCACCCTGCAGGCCCCTGGCAGCGAGGGGGACGGGTGGCCGGCGCCCCTCTCACCTGTCAGCCCTTCCTGCAGCTGGCTTGAGCGCCCGGGGCGTGCGACCAAGCCCTGGGGCTACCCAGCACACCCTAAAATTGATCCCACAGGGGAGGACGGGGTGATGCCGGCCGCGGCGGGGTTTGCGCACCCATGGCGGGTGGCCCGTAGGAGGATGCCACGGGTATTTAATTTGAACCCCAGTTTACGCAGGAGCAGCGATTGGGGGAGCAAGATTAAAGGGATGCATGGGTGTTTTCGACTGCAAACCACAGGAGCAGAGTCTAACAGGGGAATGTGCAGTCGGTGTGTTTTGTTTTTGTGTGTTCTCTCCCCCCACCTCCCAAGTCTGCAATCTGTGGGCAGATAGGAGCCAGCCCAGTCTTCTCTGTCTGGGTCCTCAGGACCCGCCCTCCCTGCTTCCTGCACCGCCAGTCTACCAGGCCAAGGATAAATGGCTGTGGAAAGCTTTGAAGTGTTATCGCTCCAAGACGTGTCAGCATATTAATTGAAAAGGGCTTAAGATGAAGAGCTGTAGAGCTTTATTAGCTTAAAGGAGAAAAAGCTTTATGATTGTGTCATCGCATTATTTATCAAGCATGGAAAGACCTTGATAAAATCCAGTAGCCATAATAACAAAATTATATTTAAAAAATCAGTAGTCATTCTCATTTTTTTTAACAAAGGGAGGCATGGCTCAGGTGGTAGAGCCCAGCCAATGAGCAAAAGCAAGCATCAGCAAGTTTGCATCCTGGTCTTAGACAAAAACAAAACAAAAGCAATGATAATACTAATAATTAATACTAATTATGATAGAGAGTCTAGAAAACATCATATGTTAAGAAAGCTAGCCAGGCACGGGTGGCTCACTCCTGCAATCCTAGCTACTCAGGAGGCTGAGATCGGAGGATTGTGATTCAAAGCCAACTGGGACAGGGAAGTTTGCGAGACTTTTATCTTCAGTTATCCCCAGAAAACCAGAAGTGGCACTATGGCTCAAAGTGGTAGAAGTGATAGAGCTCTAGCCTTGAGACAGTACTAGGCCCTGAGTTCAAGCCCCACAACTGGCAGGGGGGAAAAAGAAAGCTAATGTTTGCTGCTGATGCCTTATGCTTGTAATTCTGGCTACTCAGGATGGTAACGCTCTGAGTTCAAAACTCTATTATAGACAAAAGAAAGGCAGAAAGAGAGGGGGGGTAAGAGAGAGAAGAGGGGAGAGAGAGAGAGGGAGGGAGAGAGAGAGAGAGAAGGAGGGAGAGAGAGAGAGAGAGAGAGAGAGAGAGAGAGAGAGATACTGGGCATTGGTGGCTTACACCAGCAATCCCAGCTACTAAAAGGTAAAATGTGAGGATAATGATTCAAAACCAGCCCAGTCAAGAAAATCTGTGAGACTCTTATTTCCAGTTAACCACCAAAAAAGCCAGAAATGAGGATGTAGTCAAGGTTAAGTGGTGGAGTGCTAGCCTTGGGTAAAAAAGCTAAGGGACAGCATCCAGGCCCTGAGTTCAAGCCCTAGTACCACACACACACACACACACACACACACACTGCTAAGGTTATTCTCGCTGATTTGGGCTTAGGAAAAGGAAGGTCATTATCACCACTGTTATTCCATAGGGTTTAGATTAGTCTGGCCAAGTTAATACAGTAAGCAAATAGAACAAGTGGTATAAATATTGGAAAGCAAAAGGATCATTATTTGCAGATTATATGAGATGAGAGAAAAATCCTAGCAATGATGTGATTAGACTTCAGCTAAACAAACATAAGGGACTAAGATATGGCTCAGAGGTAGAGCATTTGCTGTGCATATTCAAGGCCCTGGGTGCAATCTGTAGCATGCAGCTCGTGTGTGTGTGTGTGTGTGTGTGTGTGTGTGTGTGTGTGTGTGTGTGTGTGTGTGATATGTTACTAGAACCAGTGAGATCTAGGAAGGTCTTCCAAAGGGAGGAGGCCTCTACCTAGCCCTTGGGTATGGATTGGGGGTGATGTTGCAAAGAAGAATGTTAGGGCACATTGAGATAGAGACCAAGAACTTCATTAGTGAAGTAGAGCAAAAGAAATAATGGTCCACCCCAGATACATGCACATCTGGGGTTTACAACACACCACATACCATTCTAAGTGCCTTACATGGAGTACCTTCATTGTTTCTTACATCTTGAAGTCATATTCTTATTATCCTATTTTGCAAATGAGGAAATGAGACATCCCAGGAAGGTTAAGAAATGAGCCTGTGGGTTTCCACTTACTGAGTGGAAGAGCCAGAATTGGACTACTAGTGTGTTGTGGTACTTCTGATTCGATGGAAGTTCCAAATATTTAAGTAGTCCAGTTTGTGTGTTTCCTGAGTTTCATTAAAAAGCCTTAATAGAAGAAGATTTATGATGAGTGAGAATTCCTCTCTTCACTACTGATTTGGTATGTGTCATTTTTCTTATGTTCCCCCAAGGACTTACTTTCTTAATTGTATGTTTGTCTGAGAGCACTTGATAAATGGGCTTTCACATTTCTAAGTATGGACCTATGGGAGGAACCTGTTAAAATGTGACTTGCTCATCACTGTGGATAACTTCCATAGATCTCACAGCATCCTGTAGTTTATTACCTAGGAACCCATGTTAAGGACAAATGTCATGGTTATTTTTTACTCAGGTCTCATTGTGTATCCTAGGTCCTTGACAATATTCCTGCATTAGACTTCTGAGTTTCTGAGATTACTGGTCTGGACCATCATACCTGCCAAAAGTTAAGCTTTTCTTTCTTTCTTTTTTTTCCCTTGCTGTTGGTCATGGGATTGAACTGAGGGCCTGGGTGTTGTCCCTGAGCTTTTGTGCTCAAGGCTAGTGCTCTTCCAGTCTTTTTTGCCAGTCCTGGGGTTTGAACTGAGAGCCTGGGCACTGTCCCTGAGCTCCTTTTTGCTCAAACCTACACTCTACCACTTGAGTCACAGCACCACTTCTGGCTTTTTCTGTTTGTGTAGTATTGATGAATCAAACCCAGGGCTTCATGTATGCTAGTCAAGAACTCTAGCACTAAGCCACATTCCCAGCCCTCGTGTTCTACCACTTTAAGCCACAGCACTACTTCTAGGTTTCTGGTGGTTAATTGGAGAAAAGCCCAGGCTGGCTTCAAACTGAGATCCTCAAATCTAAGCCTCCTAAGTAGCTAGGATTATAAGCGTGAGTCACAGGCACCTAGTTTAAAGTTTTTTTTTGTTTTTTTTTGGTCAGTGATAGGGCTTGAACTCTGGGCCTGAGCGTTGTCCCTTAGCTCTTCAGCTCAAGACTAGAGCTCTACCACTTGAGCCACAGCGCCACTTCCTGTTTTCTGGTGGTTAAATGGAGGTAAGAGCCTCACAGACTTTCCTGCCCGAGCTGGCTTTGAACCACGATCTTTAGATCTCAGCCTCTTGAGTATCTAGGATTACAGGCGTGAGCCTGTAAAGTACCCAGCTAAAGTTAAGCATTTTGATGGTAATTAAAATGGACAAGATTCATGGCATTTTTGGATACAGGGAGATACAAATGGTGTTTTTTATTGTAAAAATACCATACAGAGGGGTTACAGTAATAGTACATTTCTTATCAAGCATTATTGCCTCCTCCTTTATTTTTCCCCTACCATCCTTGCCCTCCCATCTCCATGACTATCCCCCCCACCCCCAAATGGTGTTTTGAAGTCCCTGAGTTATAAGGTCTGTAGTGGATGATCTGGTGTACTTCCCAGAATGGTTCCTTTGGCTCCTTAATAAGACTACTTATTTATTATTATTATTTTATTTTTTTATTTTTTGGTCAGTCATGGGGCTTGAACTCTGGGCTTGGGCGCTGTCCCTGCACTCTTCAGCTAAAGGCGAGCGATCTACTGCTTGAGCCACAGTGCCACTTCCAGTTTTCTAATGGTTTATTGGAGATAAGAGTCTCACGGACTTTCCTGCCCCGGTTGGCTTTGAACTGCGATCCTCAGATCTCAGCTTCCTAAGTGGCTAGGATTACAGGCATGAGCCAGCAGCGCCCAGCTTATTATTGTTTTTATAAAGATGCTATACAGAGGGGTTACAGTTATATAAGTCAGGTAGAGAGTACATTTCTTTTTTGGACAATGACACCCCTTCCCTTGCTATCTCTCAGTTTTTCCTTCCTGTCCACACCTACAAGTTGTGTAGTTCATTTTCAACATAGTGTCTAGTAAATTTCTTTGTTTATTTAGGTGGTTTGAACTCAGGGCCTTAGTGAGACTTTTAAGGAGTGAGGACAGGAAGGAGGACCAATTAAAATAATCGGAAAAGAATCAACTGCAGTGAGATTAGAGGAAACACAGGTTGAACTATGGCAAAAAAGTTTGAAATTAAAAAAAAACATATCCCTAGATGGGCACTGGTGACTCATACCTGTAATCCTGGTTACTCAGTAGACTGAAATCTAAAGATGATCACAGTTTGAAGCCAGCCCAGACAGAAACGTCTGTAAGACTCATCTCTAATTAGCCAGAAAAAAGCTGTAAGTGGAACTAGGTAGAGAGTTAG